TAACACTGTGGCAACAGACTTGAGTTAATGTGAAAAGTTGTAGCTAATCCTAGAAAGACTAGAGGCACATATATTTCCTAATACATTAATATGAAGGTAAATGAGATTTGTCAAGTATTCACCATTAGAACACATTAACACAAATAATAATTTGAGGAAAACATTCTCTATATTTTTGCTTTTATTTGTGACTCACACTGGATACCTGAAAAGACTCATTTTAAAAGGAGAGATTAAAAAACACTAAAGATGCCGGGCGTTGGTGGCGCACGCCTTTAATCCCAGCACTCGGGAGGCAGAGCCAGGCGGATCTCTGTGAGTTCGAGGCCAGCCTGGGCTACCAAGTGAGTTCCAGGAAAGGCGCAAAGCTACACAGAGAAACCTTGTCTCGAAAAACAAAACAAAACAAAACAAAAAAAAAAAACACTAAAGATGTCTTAAATAATGATAAGGAATCATTTTGTGGCTACTTAAAATTACATATGAAATGTAATGCATGTGTTTCCATATATATGTATTAATTGAAGTCACACCAATTGGAGTGAGTGTCCCCCCATAAAACAGGCTCACAAAAATCCTACTGCCAGACCTTGTTGGTAAGGAGAGTCCAAGAGGTCCCCCAAACAATATAGACTATAACTGTCACCCTTGGTGCCTCTTAGAAACTTACAGTGAATCTCTACTAGAGTTTCTTGAATTTCCTATAAAGCCACCAAGCATTCACTAGATAAAACAAAACTACAAAAAGTATAGATCAGAACTACACTAAGGGATAATATTAAAAGAACTAGAAGCAGCCACAAGGATTAGAACTTTTATTTGCTATCCTGACCTCTAGCATTACTACCCCCTATCACTAGCTACATTCTTTGAAGTGACTACTCAGCCTACTTACTTCCTTCTTGCTGGATGTGTGGTACCCACCTGTGTTCTCCTTTGTTTCTGAGACAGGGTCTGGCTGGGGACACTGGTCTGCAACTTGTGCTTTTAGCTCAACTTCTAGGTATTGGAATTGTCTGGTTTTTACCAAACTCTTTAATCCCATCTTTAATCTTTAAACCTCTCCTTAAAACCGTCTCAGTCTTAGTGTTTCCCAAGTATGCTTGCTTAAGCTTTGTTCTCCAACAGCCAAGTGATCAGTACATTTTGTGTCTACAGAATGCCTTCTTAATCCCCCATTTCTAACAACACTTCACTAATTCTGCTACATACAGTTTTAAGTCTGTAATACGATTTCCAGCTTCTTTTTATTTCTTCCCATTTGTATACAGTTTTTCTCTCCATTACAGCCTGAGTAATCATGTTGAAAAAAAGGAATCATTAAAATACTGTTTTCATCCATTTATGGTGGCTATTTTATAAGGAAATATAAACATTGAGTTATTGCAAAATTATGTATTGAAAGTGTAACATCTATATGCACAATTACATTTACAATAAGTTTATATCTACTATATACATACATACACACACACACACACACATATATATATATATATATATATATATATATATATATATATATATATATATATATTTGATTTTGAGACATGGTCTCACTATGTAGCTCTAGTTGTCCTGAATTCACTATGTAGACCAGGCTGGCCTTGAACTCACAGAGAACTGCTTGGCTCTGCCTCCAGAGTGCTGGATTAAAGGCATGTGCTATTATTGGCTATATTTTAAAAATACTATTTTAGGATTTTCTCTAATTCTACAATCTAAGTTTAAAAATCCATATTGTCTATGAAGAACGCCCACTACAGTGTATTAAAAAGTACGCACAACCTGTTTTAAGAAAGCAGTTAATTCAGAATCGTTAAATTAAGCCACCATGCATTGTGCTCTCACTCTCTCTATGTGCTCTTAGTACTAGTACAACCATCTCTGAGGTGATATTACATGGCAATAGTTAAAGATTCTAAAGGCTTGTGAAACTCCAAAAAGAGACCAAATGGAACAGTGTTCAAGACATATAACTACACTAAAAGACAGTAAAGACTTGATTAGGTCATATTTCATCCTTGAAGAAAGATTAGCATTAAGTAAAACTTAAAAATACTACAGCTATTAAATCCTCCAAAACTATGTAAATTTGTGAGTCTCTATTCAAACCTCTTATAATGTAATAACTACTGCTGTCCTCTCATGATGCAGTCAACATAAATGTGTCTCCTAACATATTTCTAATTTTTAAGAGTTAGTTGTGTAACAAGGAAAGAGTCAACAAAGTCAGAATAAATAGCAAATAGTTTTATAACTTATAAGAGCTTCAATTTATCTTGTTTGGTGGAAAGAGCACTGAATTTGGAATCCATAAGGTTAGGATTCGGGTTTGGATATACTAGTGATCAACTGTATAGCCTCAGAGAGACAATGAGCCTTTCTAGAAAATGAAACATATTAAACCAGATAAATGATGAGATTCTAACATCCTTTGATTCTCAAGATCAGTTTTGGTAGCAGGAATATCCAGATTATGGCTTGGTAGAAAAGTTTCTTCATTAACAAAGGGCTGAAGAATCTACTTCAAGTTAAAACAAAAAACAGATCCTTTGAAGTAACCATATGGCGCCCATAAATCCATTTATGCTCCTAAAGCTTCCTTAAAAGCTATTAAGTTTCTATTGGTTAATTATAAAACTGAACGAGGTGAGAAAAACACAGACCCTTGCTAATTCCACTAATGAATCAAATGTAAAGAACATAAAAAAGAAGTCAATAGCTTGATTTATGCAAAAACACATCGTATTAAGACAAAATTTCTGCTCTGTCAAAGCTTAAAGAAGGGACAGGAAGTGGTTAAATTTCCAAATTCCCATTTAGTCACCTAAGTTTTGGTATAAAGATTGGCAAACAGTACAAACTTTCATCGTGTGGGATTGTAACTGCATGGGATGTAACATAATTTCACCAAGTCGTGCTGTTCGAAATTTCTATCGGTTACCTTGTCATATGAATTTAATTTGATGAGTTTAAGACCCGTATTTAATTTGCCTACTAGCATATATTAGGAATGTGCCTGGCTGCTGTAGTTACGATAACGATCAGGTTGTGGATTTAAATATCTTGGTAGAGTGAGGTTGCAGAGGGACAAAGTCTGCATTTCCATAGGACGATAGTACTGCCAGAGGATGTTTCTCAGTTACTAACGGGGATGATTCGGTCCCACATTTCAGTCTCTGGCTATGTCACACTTCACTAGTCCGTGATAAAGGACGCAACATATGACGATGAAGTGAACGGTGACTTTGAACCAAGGAATTTACTTCATCAACGGGAGACCTGAGGTTGTCCACCAAGGCTGGGGATGGGCAAACCGAGGCTGGGGTGACAGTCAATGGCATTCCCCCACCCCACCCCCGGACATAGGAGGGAAAGCTGTGGCACAGCGAGTTTCCTTGGCCAGGTCGGCATGCTGATGTGAAGTTGTGTCAAGACGGAACGGATGGCCAGCATCGCGTTGGAGAAGTGAATGGAGAAGGCCCAAGAACAACTCCAACTGCTGCCATTGATTTAAGGCGACGTCCACCCTCTAGGGTGGAGCGGCGAGGGGTAGGGGGAGAGAGAGGATCACACTCCCCCCCCCACCCCCCGAGGCACACGGAAGTGCCTGCGGCAAGAAAACTTTTTCCAGTTTGCAACCATAAATGCAGAGAGCGAGCGGTGTGCAAAAGGGCGCCGGGGAAGGTCACCGGGACAGCGCTGGAGGCGTGGGGGCGTCCTCGGGAAGGGCCGCGGGGGAGCCCGCAGGGCGGCTGGGGGACGAGCTCGCCCTCCCGCCCCAGTTCTAGACGCCTGTCCCACGCGGGACTTACCCGGACAGCCCCTCCTCGCGGCTGTGGAGGGAACTCTCCCGGTCACGGACCAGTCTGGCCCGGACTCCACTAACTGCCGCCGCCCTCGAGTCCCCGATCCCCTCGAATCAATGTGAACACGAAGAAAAAAACAAAACAAAACAAAACACAGCTTCTCGCGGCTCCCCAAGCGCTAAGCCACGGGGCTCAATTTCGAATCCGGCGCCCTTGACGTGAGTCCCGCCCCTTCCGGGAAACCGTTTCCTTTCCTCCCCATCGAACCCCCCCCCCGCCCCTCCCTTTCTCGCGGTTTCTCTCGCCCCCCCAGCGCCCCGGCGGACGCATGCGTAGACCTGTTGCCAGGGCGCCGGGAGATCTTCCCCCCCCTTCCTCCTCCTCCCCAGCTCCGTCCCGCTCCGCCGCTGCGGGGCGCGTGCCTCCCCGCTTCCTCTGCTCTTCGCTTCCCCCCCCACCCCTCCGCGGCCGCCCGCCCGCCCCAACCTCCCGCCTGCTGAGCGCACTTCCGGTTCCCTCCGGCCCACCCGAGCGGCCTCGAGAGGCCCGGAGCGCGCAGGCGCGGGCGGAGTCCGGGGGGGCGGGGAGGGGCGGGGCGCAGGCGCGGACCGTCCCGCGGCGGGCGCCTGGCTGCGGGGCTCCCGCCTCCTGCTTCTCGGGCGCACCGGGGTGCGCCCAGCTTGGCGGTGGTGGGGGGGACCGGCGAGCGGGAGCCGAGGTCGGACGCCCTGAGGTTGGCCTTCGCGTCGTGACAGCCGCGCCGACTCCTTTTCCCCCGGGGCGACCGCGACTTGTTGGAGGTAGAGCGAGGGCGCGCGCTTCCTCCCTCTCCACGCCCCGGCAGCCCCCGTGCCTCGGCCGCCCGGCCTCCCGCCCTCGGCCCTCCTGGGAGCTGCGGGCTGCGGGTGCTGAGCGGGGTCGGGCCTGCGCGCGGGCCGCGGCGGGGGAACCTTCGCGCCCTCGGCCGGGGTGGGGGGGACGACACCCGCTCCCCGCATCGGGAAACTTGGCCGTGGGCGCCGGCCCGCCCTCGCGCGTCCCCAGGCGGCCCGGGCGTTGGCGGGCAGCCGCAGAGGTCGGGTCCGGGCTGAGCAGGGGCCGGCGGTCGGAGCAGGGGACTCCATGCGCAGGCACCACCGTGCTGGGGGGTGGGGTGGGCTGGGGTGGGGGGCGACTGGAGATGCCGCCGAAATCTGAACTGGTCGTTAAATCCCGTTTCCCCCTAAACGCCGCGGGGGTGGTCCAGGCGAAGAGGAGATCGTCGGCGCTTGAAAGGTTTGGGTGGCGTTTCTTGCCCTTGGTGACTGTGGAATTGGAGGGAAATCTCGATCGGCAGCGCTAGAAAACAGGACCTGAGGGGTAGAGAAAGGACTCCAGGAGAATAGGGCGTGAGGTAAGACTCCTGATCCCTAGAAAGAACAGCGAATTGACATTTAAAAGCCTGAAGACAAGTTACGTGAGCGCTTACCTTATACTTGCTTTACTTATTAACTTTATAGTTAATGGGTAAAAAGGAAGACCAAGCTTGCGTTTCGAGCTCTTCCGAGATGTCTATTCCAAGTTAGAAAAGTCCATATTCCCTGACACTTAGAAGGCTGCTGGATTCTTTAAAAATGTCTAATAAAATCTGCAGTGGCCAGCAGCTAGTTTTAGGGGAGGTGTGGATGATGAACTCTTAGACTCATCCAGTTAGCATGTGGAAATGATCTTTTTCTTAGTGTCGAAATCTATGCTCGTAATTATTTTCCTGGGAACTGAGGCAGGTAGTGCTGATGGTAGCTTGCTTGCCTAGCAAGCCCAGAACCCCCGAGTTCAGTCCTCAGCAACACATAAAATTCTGTGGTGGTGCAGGCATGTGATCCTAGCATCCAGGAGGTGGAAGCAGGAGCATGGAAAGGTCCTCTGCTACATTGCAAGCTTGAAGCCAGCTTGGGTTACACGAGGCCCTGTCTCAAAGAAAAATTATTTTTCTGAGCTGGGGATGGTGGCTCAGGCCTGTCTCAGTTCTTAGTAGGAGCTGAGGTGAGTTGGAGAGTTAGAGGAAAATTTGGTATGTATAGTGAGTTCCAGGCTAGTTCAGGCTACAGAGGAAGACTGTCCAAAAACAAAAATCATTTTCTGAGTGTGTGTAGTAAGTTTAGGGACCACTTGTAATTGCTTAAAAACATGTTTTTGTTCCACACAAGGCAGGTAATAAGACTTTTTGAAGAGTAATTCCACCTCTTTACTTCTCAGTTCTAAGTCACAGGATTCCTGAGAGATTAATTCAGTATAAAGTTTTCATTATTGAGCTCAATAAAAAGCCATTATAAACAGCATATTGAATGCTAGTGTAAAGGAAATTTTATTCCCCAAAGTTTTGTTTTACTAAGTGCCAAAACTAGAATTTTATGTAAAACTTGCCTGAATCTTGACTGCCATTTTAATTGTTAGGACAGTCAATCCAAGATGTAGTTGATAGTCTAGGAGTACCGTTCAGTGGTCGATTGCTACTTTAACATGGAGGGACCCTGGATCCAATTTTCAGTGACTCCCCCAAAAGTAGTTGACTACTTTCAAGAAATAATAAATAACTAAAAAGTTTACTGTAATAGTATATGCATTATATTAGAAATACTTTAAAAATTTTTATTATTCATATGTATGGATGTTTTGCTGGCATGTATGTCTGCGCACCACATACATGCCTGGTGCCCACCGAGGTGTTAGACAGTTGGAAGCTTCCATGTAGTTGCTGGGAGAAGAGTCAGTGCTCTTCACCTCTGAGCCACCTTTCCAGCCCGTTTTACATACTTAAATGTCACCAGCAAGTCCAGGTGACTGAGGGCCTAGTGTGGTCAGTTGTACTGTGTGTGTGTGTGTGTGTGTGTGTGTGTGTCTTTAAATTTGCAAGTTAAATTAGTTATGTCCTTTCCCAATCTGCATGCTTTTCTTGGTCTCCAAATTCAAACTACTTGATGTAATTTTCTTTCCTCCACTTGTAGATTGATTTCTATTGCAGAGTATCTCAGAGTCTACTCTTGGAGCCCTTCAAATTCAAGTGTTTGCAAACCAAACAAATTTATCATCCTTTCCTCTTGACAGATCTACTGTCTGTTTATAGTGTTGGATAGCATTAAGTGAGAAAATGAGTCTTCATGAAGCAAGCCCTTAGGAACATTTAGAAGAACACTTTAGGATAGAATTCTTTTTCTCGTTTTTTTTTTGAGAGGCACACAAGAAGACAACAGATTGTCAGTCACTGAGTGTGACTCACGTGTTGGCTAAACTCAGTTTATGCCAGTAGGAACCTGGACATAAGCGGTTTGACTTTCATTTGGGAAACCTGGATTTGAATCTGCACTGCCAGCGACTGTCTGCATCTAGTGACTAAGTTGGTGCTACATAAGTTGAAGTCTTACATTTGAGCCTTAGTTTCCCATTTTGCAAAATAAGAGCATGATTTATATAAAGAGATCAAAGTGTATAGTTTAATCCAGGACTAACCATAGGTTACTCTACAAATGTTAATTCTACTCAGTTGGACTTAAGTCTTTTTAACTGTTTGGTTTGACCACTCCCCATTCATCCCTGATCCTGCTCTAGTTTTTGTTTAGAATTTTATTAGAAACTGTCTGCTTTGGCATTATTAGTGTATCCCAGATTATGATACGGTTTCAACTCAAATTTGAGTTTTCAAATTGTATTATACCAATACAATACCAAAAGTAGAGGGCTTCCCAGTTTCTGCTGGCCTTGGATTTGTTGGTGTTTGGACTTAAAATGTTTTACTGTATTATCTAGTTAGCCTCATTTGATTTTGTAGTATATTCCAAACACTGCTCAATTAATTCAATACATTAAGATGGTTTAATGTAGAGTGAATGTGTCTTGTAGATGGGAAGAGTACAATTAGGGATGTGGTAAACACAGTTCAGAGCAGATATCTGAATCCATCACTAATGCCTCAGACTAGTGGTATTTATGTTTACATAAAAATGTTTAGTTCTAATAGTTCTAGAATTAAGTAAGTCTAATTCTGTTATGCTGGACACTGCTTTTAATCTCTACTTTACCATTAATTGGAAGTATGAGTTATATATAAAAGCTCACGAGTCAAAATTTTATAATCCTGCTAAAACTTGTAGGATCCCAGTAAAATTTCATATGTATCTAAATGCTGCATTAAGCCCTTAGTTACTGATTTTTCTTTTAAACTAACTTTCTTTTGGATGTTCTTCATTGTTCCTGCTTTGAAATTTTACTTCGTAAAAGAGAAGAGGTGATACTATTCTGAATTTATTTATTTACTTATTTTAAAGGCTGTGGCACACACCTATAATCCCAGCACCCAAGTTCCAGGACAGCCTGGGCTATATAGCTAGGCCTTGTTTTAAACAAACACACACACACACAAACCAAAACAACCAAAATTTTAAAAATTGTAGATAATGAAGTAAAATGATACTGCTCTTTCAGTATACTCAAGCTCTCAGAGGAACCTTTCCCTTTCTTGTATCTGTTGTATCTTTTATCTTGTTAGTAATAATGGTTTTACTATTTATTGCCTATATCTCACACTCAGGACATTCATACATGTTTTTTGGAAGTCAGTCATCTTTAAATCTCAAAATGATTCCTATTTAAGTTAGGAGGATCCTTCTCTATCTCTCAGATGTAAGTTGCCTTGGCAACCTAGCAGATTCCAAATCCCAGGCTATACCAGCAAATAAAAAGCAGCTTCATTATGAAGTATTTGAGTGTAGTATCTTTTGTGTAGTGTAGACGAGTATACATTGTGAGTTCATCACACTTAGCCTCGTGTACCTGCCTCACCCCAGTTTTATTTGCCAGACTGCTTTCTAATGATGAGTACTAAAGTCAACCATACTATTTCTGAGTGCTTTCTGTCAGATCGTCTATTAATCATTAATAAAAACAATGTCTCTCTTTAGTAATTTATAAATTATTACTAAAGAATTGGTAAAGGAATAGAGAGTGGAGGAGACAGAAGGTGTTGCCAGAAAATAATGACCTGGTGGTATTTGGGGAATTTAAATTAGCCACAGACTAAAACTAACATAAATTGATTCTTGTGGTTAAGTGATTAGAAAAAAAAGGTATTTGGTTTTGAAGTGCTGGCTTCTGTAAGAGATTTGAGATAAATATTAAACTATTTGTGCCAGGCAGTGGTGGCACACGCCTTTAATCCCAGCACTTGAGAGGTAGAGGCAGGCGGATCTCAGTGAGTTTAAGGTCAGCCTGGTCTACAAAGAGAGTTGCAGGACAACTAAAACTGTTAGACAGAGAAACCCTATCTCAAAAAAACAAAACAAAAAAACCCCAAAATTAAACTATTTCAGATAAAGATGCTAATATGATACAGTTGTGATTAATGATAATATTCCCTGGAAAGGTATTAGTTTGGGTTAAATTTTTTTTGGATGCTAATGTATCTTTTATTAAAGATACTTGATGTCAGAGTTGCACAAAGTCCGAGTTCTTTAGGAAGTGTGATTTACCAGTTCTCAAATTGTATAAAACTGCTTTTGTGTCACTTGAACTCTTACTAAGGGTCCTATTCACATGCTCTGACATGCAGCCCAGGACTGGGGGTATTTGTGCAGTTCCCAAGGTACACAGACACCGCTTTCTGATCTTTGGACTGCGCTCTGAACATCAAGTCTACAAATCATCTTATGTATGTCCCCACTGCTCTAACTTTGTTTTTTACAGTTCATGACTAGCAAGGGCAGTGTCTAGTGTATTTTTTAATACTTGGTTTATGACGATTGGAAATGCACTACTATCCAGGGAACAGGGAAACTACTAGTGTGAGGTATCGCTGCTTCAAAATGGGTTCCTTTGGGAAATAATGTAAAAATTAGCTTATTTGATTAATATTACTTTATAAGTTATAAAAGTTCAATGTTGTAATAGTTTCAGGAGGGAGTGTGTCCTGACTACTAATTGGAAACTAGAAGACACCATTTTACCAATAAAATATTTTTCTCTTTATTGTGTTTGGGAAGAAGATATACAGCTAGGCTCTTATCGATTTATAGCCATGAATAATTAGGAGGTAAAAATTAGCCGATCCGTATGATCCTGGTGAGGGTGGGTTTGTTCTTTTAAGACACTGTGAAATGACTTTCTTACCTGGCTGGAAACTAGAGGTCCAGCTCAGGTCTTGAGGGACTAACAGCATCAGTAGAGGTGCCTTTCTTTTTGAAGGTTCTTTTTCCTTAAAATTAAAGGAGTTTTCTGTGATTCATTTTGTTCGTTGTTTATTGAATAGTCTTTATATGCTATCATTGGCTTATATTATGTTACTGTAAAAATTTGTTCAGATCTGATGGCCAAAAGAAAGGAAGACAATTTCTGCTCTCCTGAAAATGCTAAAAGGCCAAGACAAGAAGAACTGGAAGATTTTGATAAAGATGGAGATGAGGATGAATGTACAATTTCTTTCACTAATGGAACCTCTACTTTGGTAAGCACAGAATTCCAAAATTTCAAATGGTTTGTTTCTCATGGCCATTTTGTATATCGTTTTTAATGATAATTTGTAGCCTGGTCATAATTTGTAGCCTTGAGAAAGCATAAGCATTTTAAAGAGCTGGGCAAAAATAGCTTCAGATTTTGAAGTTGTTAATAATTAGAAAACTTAAAGAAAATAACAGGTCAAATAACTAAATCTTTAAATAAAATTAACAAACCTGTAGTAAGACCAATAGGGAAACAAGAAGACATAAATTGCCAATGTCGTGAATAGAATAGAGGCCGCAGTTACTGACTTGACCCCCTATGCACTTTAAAAGAATAAGGAGATATAATTGTCCTTCACATTTATATCTGAGATATCATTGCATACTCATCAGAATGATAAAGTATAAAATAGTGATATCACCAGGTGGCAAGAATGCATTGAATTGGCCGGGCGGTGGTGGCACACGCCCTTAATCCCAGCACTCGGGAGGCAGAGGCAGGCGGATCTCTGTGAGTTCGAGGTCAGCCTGGGCTACGGAGTGAGCTCTAGGAAAGGCGCAGAAGCTACACAGAGAAGCCCTGTCTTGAAAAACCAAACAAACAACAAAAAAAAATGCATGAATCATTTATACGTTGCTGATGGAAATGTTAAGTTGTTACCACCACTATGGAAAGTTTGTTTCTGTGAAAAACAATATAAAATTGCAATATAACCTAGCATTTGTTCCCAAGAAATGAAGATTTATTTTAGTACAAAGCATAGTATATTTTTAGTAGCTTTATTCACAACAAGTTAAATTCAAAATAAGTCCACATGTGATTTGCTGAGGATCCTGTGGTACATCCATTCCATGAAATACTGCTTAGCTGTGACAATTAAGCTGAGTTAAAAAGCCAGTCTCCAAAGATTATGTTTTGCCTACGTCCATTTATTTGACATTCTTGGAATAACATTTACAGAAATAAAGAACAGATTAGTGGACAAATGGTTGATGTGGGTTGAGAGGAATGTGATGGTGATTGTGATCCTTACAACGTAAGGGATAGCCTGTGAGGGTGACACATGTATCTAGACTGTCAGTGTCGTGTCTTACCTGAGATAGCATGCCTTCTTAAAATTTTTGAGTTGTCAGGAGTTGCATGAAGAGTACATAGGGTCTCATTTCTTAATAATTGCATGTGACTTTTCAGTTACCACAAAGTAAAAATTTATAGAAATTCTTGAATACCTGATAATCTATTTGTGCAATGATGTAAATATTTTCTGCTTTTTAATAAGGTGTGTGGCTAGAATTGAGATGGAGCTTCTAAAGAACCCATTAAAATTGCTGATCACATTAAAATGGTCTCTAAAATATTAGGACTGACAAAATTCTGGTTGGTTTATTCTGGTACTTAATATCTATGGGGTGCAAGTGAGTACTATTTATTGGCCAAATACTGATCAAACCATTTAATAATATTAATCCTGACATTTATTTTTAATTTGGGAGCTTTTTCTGCTTACAGATTTGGGAATCCTTTTTCCTCTAGAGACAGGGTTTCTTTATATAGACCTGGCTGTCCTGGAACTTGCTCTGTAGACCAGGCTGGCCTAGAACTCACAGAGATTGACTGCCTCTGCCTCCTCAGTGCTAGGATTAAAGTTGTGCAGCACCACTCCTGAGCAAATCCTACATTCTTTTTACATTGCTAAAAGTCATTTGACTCTTGTAAGCACCTGAGACAGACTGTCAGAAGAAAGGCATCTGTACAATGCTCTTTGAATTCTTTATTATGAAAATGGAGTGCCATGGCAGAGAATGAATTCCATGGTCAAACCTTGGGCAGATAGTGTGTAGAATTACTGATAACCTAAAAAAAAAAATTCTATTTTATTTACTGATGCTCATTAAAGTTATTGTTGCTCACTTGGTACAGCTTTTCATTGATAAATACTGCTAATCTGTCAGATGCTTGGGTATTTGTAATTAGTGGATTAGAGAGATTGAAATTTTTTGTTATCCTCAATTTCTTTGTTGTTAATAGACTGCAGCAGAAGTTGGAATAATTGAGAGCATTCAGCTAAGAAACTTCATGTGCCATTCAATGCTTGGACCTTTTAAATTTGGTTCTAATGTCAACTTCGTTGTTGGCAATAATGGAAGTAAGTGCCTTTGCCCTCTTTATACTCTACTTTGTGATGACAGTGCATGAGCTTTTTCAAATAGCTGACTGTTAATGCTGATAAATATTTGGGTCTAAACTTTGTGGCTTCCCAGTATTTTTTCAGTTTACACTTCAAGGAAATACTGCATTAATTTCAGATATGTTATTTAGTAGGTATAAACATTTCCTTCCTTTTCTGTTGTCTTGTAGATTTATTTATTTTTATGTGTATGAATATTTGCCTGCATGCATGTATGTGGACCATATACATGCATTGCCCTCTGAGGTCAGAAGATGGCTTTGAAGCCCCTGGAACTGAAGTTACAGATGGTTGTGAGCCAGGTGTTGGGAACTGAACCTAGGTCCTAGCTAAGAGCAGCAAGTGCTCTTAACCACTATACCATCTCTTTCTTTCTTCTTCCATAGGTCCATACATCATTCCTTTCTGCTTCCTTTTTTTTTCCCCTTCATTATTCTTAAGATAGAATCTCAGTTATTTTGCTCAGGCTTGCCTCAAACTGCTGGGCCCAAGGGGCCTTCTATCTCCTCAGTATAAAGGCACCACAGCAGCCTGGTGTAAACACTAGATAGGGCACAGATGAAGTGCCTTAGAAATCCAAAAAATGGAACTGACAATCCATTGTTGTGATCAGTAGTTTTTATGAGATTGTATTTTTGCTGGTACTTGGATGAAATTTAGAGATTTCTTAAGACTCATTTTGGCAAGAAGCTGAGATGTTCTAGGCACAGTTGGCTCATTCTCAGATGTTCAGAGGATAGAGGATATATATATGGAGAAGGGGGTTTAACTTCATGTTGTATCATATGGAACATGGTGGGAAAGGGCAGAATATGGTGGAGAGTTATATTGTATATAGTACTGTTGAGGGTCCTAAAGGCTTGATAAAGACTTGAGAGTTTTATTCAGTTGACAGTGGGTAGTCAGTTAAAAAAATTTGAGTGATGGGTTAACATGGGTGGCAAGATTGTTGTGACAGACGAGCTCCATTGTGGCAGTTGATGGTAGACAAGCCAGGTGTTGGGTGACTGAGATAGTGTACAGTCTACCACCTAGTGACAGTACTAGACAAGGAAGTTAGATCTGTGTAGCTCCATAGTCCCTTTCTTTATTGTTGCTGCCTCTGTCTGTCATTCAGGGAAGCAGGAGAATGAACGGAGAAAAGGATTGTACAGGGAGGGTCCAAAGTATAAGAAGGAAAGAATCATGGATTCTCAAGATGTGAGAAATTTGAATGGTTTCTTTTATAAAACTTAATAAAGGTGAATTAACTAAAGCATTATACCTCGTAGTAAAGAAAAAAGAGTAAGAACTTGAAAGGCATTCCAGGAACTAAATCAAGATAACCATTAATTTCTGTTGGCTAATTTGGTGGTATGTTGTAGAAGATAACAAACTGTTGTCGTTAATTGATTGGTAGATGGTGAAATTCAGAAAATGGTTACTGTATCTGTGAATTGCTAAGAGATTTTCAAAGTGGAGTTTTTGATGTTTTATATCTTTTAGAATAAAAAGAATTATACTTCAAAAATTAAACATAAAAGAGCTAGAAAAATGAATACTAAAATTAAAGGTCAAATACTAAAATTTAAGAATATTAAATTAAAAATTGTCAAAATATTAAATTACAAATATGTGATTTTCCTTTTTTTCTATTTAATATGCCTTCCCATGTGGAATTTCTTTCATTTGAGAGCTATTTTAAAGTTTCTGTGCCTAAAAATTTACGATGAAAGGAGTATCCATAATTAAATGAGAATGTAATGGCAAATTATGAAAATTAATTACCTATGTAAATGCAATTGGTAGTTTGATGCACCAAGATGATAGACTGAGTTTCCAGTTGATAGGGTAATGACCATTTCCTCCTTCCTTATTGTGGGTACAAATTTGGTAACTGAGTTGTCGAGTTTTTTCCTACTGGTGATAGTGAGGTAGTCCTTGATGTGAAACTTTTCTTGATTTACCGCCTTAGCACTGGAAGAAAATGATAAATTGAATTTATAACAGTTCACTTCAGGTTGGGACAAATTCAGCATCTTTTTGAATAACGTTATCAAGTCAGCATTTCCTCTTCATGAGTTTTCACTGTGTTTCTTTAGGTGGAAAGAGTGCTGTACTCACCGCTCTCATAGTTGGTCTTGGTGGAAAAGCAGTTGCTACTAACAGAGGATCCTCTTTGAAAGGTTTTGTGAAAGCTGGACAGAAGTAAGTGTCGTGCGCCGAGCTCTTGCTCTCTAGTAAGAAGCATGCTTTAGAGCCTGGAGAGCGGCCTCTCCAGGGAGAGGTGTCATCCGGTAGCCTTTGTCCTGCCTTGTTGCCCACATGGCCTTCCGCTCCTGTTATCATCTAGGCAGATAGCCTGTGTTACCGGTACTGTGCACTGCCCGCTTAATTATACCTGTTACTTTTATGGAAAACGGCAGTGGCAAATTTATATATTTTTTAAACAATTATTTATAAATATTATACCTTTGTGGGTTTTGGCCTAAACTTGGTATCAGCAGTCATACTACCGTGGTAGGGACGAGAGCAAAGTCAGTGATTGCCAACTTGTTCCGCTGAGAATTTCTTTAGGCTTTCTGTGACTTCTAGAAAAGTATCCTATCTCTGGCTCTGTTTCTCTTCCTCAGTGAATGTGATTTTAGGACCACAGTCACAAGTCTACTGTCTGGACTCTTGAGGAGCAGTCATAGTACTGCCTGGCGGTTTAACATTCATTCTTCTCTTTTTAAATATTTTTATTGAAACAGGATACTTTGTAGCATAGGCTGTCCTTTGACTTGTTATATAGCAGAGGCTGGTCTTGAACTTCTATCCTTTTACCTCTGCTATCCCAGTGCTGGAATTGTAGTTATGTTGAGTCGTGTCTGGCTACATTCATATTTCTGTCAGACATTGCTTTCATATAAATAACTGTATCAGTTGTCTAATTTTAGATGACTGCTGTTGGAGCCCTTTGCCCGCTAACAGCCCTTTTTTGGGGGAGTCAGGCTGGGGCTGTCCTCCCTCTTCCTGCTCTTCCTTCCTTTGCTTACCTTCTGTTAGACACAGACTGTCTGCTGAGCAGCACTCCAGTTCCTCTTGTTTTTGACACTACCCAAGATACCCTCTACAGGGGTCTCAGTTTCTCATAATAATGCCCAGCTTTTGTTACATTCTCTTACAGTGTGTAGATGTTGATTCTATCTGTTGGAAACTTTGATAGTTGATGCTAATACATGACAGAACACGAGACAGATTTTTTTCTGTTTGGTTTTCTCTCCATTTTTCTCTTTATTTTAATACTTAAAAGTAGAGTAGGAATATGATACAAATGAAGAATGCTAGTTTCTTGCATATTGCTGAGGAACTTAGAAATCTTAATCCAGGATTCCCAGTTGATACATGAGAAGAAAGGTTACACAGGAAGTCATTTCTTATACTTGGCTTAGAAAAAAAGTATTTGAAGACAGTTTTCTAGTATAGTTTTTGTTTTTACTTACTGGAATTCTGTCCCAACAAATATTTCACTTGGCCTTCTCTAAACATATCTTTTGGAAAACCTCAAGATCATGCCAGTTTGACAGACCAGGCTACTATGGGACAAGTGTATAGATTTCAGCTATAGGTATAGTATAGTAAGGTAGACTTGAAATCCTCAGTGGAGCAGCCCATTCCGCAGAAATACGAGTCACTAAAAAGCAAAGACAGTTTGATGGATACTAAATGTTTCAGAGGGGATGGAAGACAAAAGGAGAACTCTTGGTGAGGTTGTTTGTTTTTGAGACAGGCTCTCACTGTGTAGCCCTGGCTGGCTGGAACTTGCTGTGTGGACCAGGCAAGCCTCAAATTCACAGAGACCATGTACCAACAGTTCTGCCTAGCAACTTGGTTTTAGAGGCTCTTCTTTTAGCTCTATTTAAAGAAAGGTTACTAAAGCTACATTGTGGCCCATACCTGTAATCTTGGCACTGGGGAGACAAGAGAGGTGATGTTTGCTCTATTTCCAAGCCAGTCTGGACTGGTGGTGATTCCAGGCCAGCTAGGGCTATGTGTAGTTAAGACTTGGTTTCCCAAAACAAATTATCATTTGCTGTTATTACCTCCGCTTTGGTGCTTTAAGATAGATACATATTCCCTTTTAAGGCAATTATCCTTGAAAATCAGCTATTGTGTAAGTGAGTAGTTTTTCAACTGTAGTTGTCTCAGAAATTTATGCTTGGGTCCCAGGACTTCCCAAATTGGGGCGAGCAGTTGGAGTATTTAATAAAACGTTGCTTGGCTAGTTGAAGGAAGCCAGTCAAACACTCAGTCACAAATTCTACACAGTTTTATGACTATGTAGGTAGAATAGCTGCTCTAAAGCATTGGAGTTCTGCTTAGGGTTTGTACTTTAACTAATAAAACTTAACTTTTTTTTCTAGTTTCAGTTTTCCTTTTTTCCTTTTGTAGTGGCAGGTAAGTGAAAAAAATGTAATTGATATTGAAAGTGTAAGAGCATGGTACATTAGAAATTTTAATTGAACTTTTCTTATATCCGTTCTTAACCTGTGGGTTGAGACCACTTTGGGGGTTGAACAACCCTTTCACAGAGGTTACCTAAGACCACTGGAAAACATAGATCTTTACAATTTGTGACAGTAGCAAAATTACAGTTATGAAGTAGCAATGAAAATAATTGTATGGTATTTAAAGGGTTCCAGTGTTAGGAAGGTTGAGAACCACTGCTCTATTAGAAGATACTGGTGTATTACCTCGGCAGGCAGGTAGAGCAGTCCTTGAGAAGTAGATAGCTAAGAGTAATAAAACAGTTGGGCCATTAATTTAGAAGTACTCATTGTTATTTCAGACGTAGGTTCCTTTTTGTCCAGCTGTTTCTTTGTGTGTGTCTTTGTAGTTCCTTCTTTGGTTCTCCTCTGTCACCTCTCCTGTCCTTGTTTGTTTTTGAGACAGGGCTTCTCCGGGTAGCTCTGGCTCTCCTGGAACTGCATTTGTTGACCAGGTTGGCCTCGAACTCAGAGATCTGCCTGTCTCTGCCTCCTGAGTGCCAGGATTAAAGGTGCGCCACCACCGCCAGTCTGCCAGTCTCTTCTCTTGGTTGGTTCTGTTTTACTGTGTGTGAGCTTCTTTCCCTGTTTCTTTGTGGTAACGGAGTATGTGACTTTCACCTGTGGAATTTGTGTTCTGTTTCTTATTCCTTGTTTTAGAGTCTTGGCCACTCAGACTCCATGTGTGCAGAGTTACTAATACGTGTGTGTGTGTGTGTGTGTGTGTGTGTGTGTGTGTGTGTGTGAAGAAGTGAGTTTTGTCTCTGATTCAGTCAGTGACTGGGGGTCTGTGGCCTTTTGTCATCAGTTAGGCTCATTTGCCTAGAGCTCATGCTTCTCTCTGCAGGCCTCCTCATCTCACAGATTGGTTTCGCTGTTGAGACCTCCAAACCATAGCTCTAATGAACAATCATTTCTTGACTTGGTCATGTTGAAATTGGAATTAAGAAAACTTTGAGATTTACAGAAGTGTAGCAAAGATGATACAGTGTTTTTTCTCTATTTCTCACCCAGCTTTCCTTACTGTTAATTAGGGGTCACTAAGATGTCTTTAACCAAACTATGTAATTCACATTTGTGGAGTCTTAACTCAAGTGTAGGCTTATTTTCCTGAACTTGAATTGTAAGAGTCTGGTGGTTCCATGCAGACTTGTATATATTTAGCCTAATTTTTGGAGATGGAGATGGAGACTGATAGGTGGCTAAGTCCATCTTGGGAAGAGGAGGATGGGGAGTAAATACAGCAAATGCTGAGTATATCTCCTGTCACACCTGTGGAGCACAGAGAAGCTCATCTTGACTATTTTCCTGCATTTCCTGTAAATGTCTTGTGGATTTGGCAATAATTTCATTTTATTAAAAAAGTTTTATATGAGATGGCATTAGTATTTTTTTTTTTTTTTTTTTTTTTTTGGTTTTTCGAGACAGGGTTTCTCTGTGTAGCTTTGCGCCTTTCCTGGAGCTCACTTGGTAGCCCAGGCTGGCCTCGAACTCACAGAGATCCGCCTGCCTCTGCCTCCCGAGTGCTGGGATTAAAGGCGTGCGCCACCAACGCCCGGCGGCATTAGTATTTTATCAGATGCTCACATAAATCAGGAAACACTGCCTGCTTTTATGTGTCAGACAGTGACAAATATAATGCCTTTTTACCAACATGTTTTTCTGCCAATTTTTATTTTAATGGCAAATAAGATTGATTTTTAATATATATCTTTTTATACACACATGCACATACACATCTTAGTTATTTACTGCTGTGATAAAACACCATGATTGTCAGGTGGTGGTACATGTCTTTAATCCCAACCCTGAGGAGACAGATACAGGCAAATCACAGACACAGGCGAATCTCTGTGAGGTCAAGACCTGGTCTACAAAGTGAGTTCCAGGACAGCCAGAGCTACACAAAGAAATCCTGTCTCAAAAAAACCAAAATCAAGCCAGGTGTTGGTGGCACACGCCTTTAATCCCAGCACTCAGGAGGCAGAGCCAGGTGGATCTCTGAGTTCGAGGTCAGCCTGGGCTACCAAGTGAGTTCCAGGAAAGGTGCAAAGCTACACAGAAACCCTGTCTTGAAAAACCAAAAAACAAAACAAAACAAAACAAAAAACAAACAAAAAACCAAACGAACAAAAAACCCACCATGACCAAGGCAACTTACAAAAGAAAGCATTTTAGTGGCTGTGGTTTCAGAGGGTGGAGCCTAATGGTCGAGCAAAGGCATGGTGGCAGCAAGAGCTAAGAGCTCCTCACATCTTGATCCCCAGATAGGAGGCTGAGATAGCACCAGGAACCACACAAATCATTTAACTCCTCAGTGCCTTCTTCAGTGACACACTTCCTCCAACAAGGCCATACTGTGTAATCCTTCCCAGACAGTTTCTCAGACTGGGGACCAAGTATTCAGACATGAGTTTGGGGGTCGGTCTCATTCAGAACACCAAATTCCACTCTCTGGCTCCTATAGGCTCATAGCCATACCAGTGCAGAACACATTTAGTGCAACTTAAAAATGAGGAGCAAGCTGGTAAGCAGCACCCCTGCATGGCCTCTGCATCAGCTCTTGTCTCTAGGTCCCTGTCCTGTTTGAGTTCCTGCCCTGACTTCTTCAATGAAGGACTACATTGTGGAAGTACTTAATCATAACTTAATCAGCCTGCTTTCTTACAGAACCCATTACTACCAGTTTAGGAATGGTACCATCCACAATTTCCTGGGCCCTTTCCCATCAGTCACTAATCAATTAAGAAAGTGCTGTACAGCTGGATCTTACAGAGGTTTCAGAGGGGAATAAGCAATAGCAGCCTTTATAGCAGGCTGCAGGCCAGCCAGGGGTTACATGCTGAGACCTTGTCTCAGATGGGAAAAAACCCCTTTTGTCAGTGTGATCTCTGAGTATGTAATTCACAGTTGTCAGGAAGTATAATGTCAATTATATATGATTCTTGTGCTAAACTATAAAACGTAACTTGAAATAAAACTTTAATGTTATCTCCAAATAACGTTATTAGTGTTAATCATACAATAGTCAATTTTTGAGGAAGCTTCTCAGGTTTATTTTTCCGTCTGACACAGTGAGTGTCTTTAACATTATGTGATAGACTATGACCCTTAGCTAATCTTCTAACATGTTAAGCAGATTGCTTAGCGGGATTTGAAAATTGCTGTAATCTAACGTATTGCATTGTGCCATCATGTAACTCAGGTTAACCTCATTGTTTCAGCTCAGCAGACATCTCAATAACATTAAGGAACAGAGGAGATGATGCCTTCAGGGCAAATGTGTACGGTGACTCGATAGTTGTACAGCAGCACATTAGTGTGGACGGAAGTCGATCTTACAAACTAAAAAGTGAAAAAGGTTTGTTGATTTTTTTTTTTATCATTTCTTATAAAATATTAGTCAATGCTTGAAAGTTCTTATGATTGTCCCTGTGCTATCCTCCTAGTCTCTTGAAGCCTCACTTTGTAACCTGCTTGGTTGTAGAGGTAGAGACACACATGCACACACACATATATAGGTACATGTGTGTATTAGACTTAGTTGTTGCAGAAGAACGTAAAGTCAACACCATGTTGAACAGAATTAATTTGAAGTCGCTGTGTCATTCTGTTTTCAGCTGTAGGTTTCCTTTCTTCCCTATTTCTACAGCTTAGAGCTAGCAGAAGGTAGGAAAGGGCGTGAAGGAGGAGCTAAGTGTTCAGTTATGGAGAACATATTGACTGGGACCCATAGGAAGACACATGCACTGTTACTGCTTGTGGAGTTTTTCCTACTCTCTGTTTGTGTAATGACTTATGTGTTACCCTGAAACTACAAGAATTTGCTAGTATTTTGTTGTTGTTGTTGTTGGCCTGACAATAGCTGCTTAATATTTGCATTTTATAGATAATTGTACATTTCCCCTGTATTTCATGAGGAGTCTGGTCTTTGTATTTTTATAACCAGGCACCGTGGTTTCTACTAAGAAAGAAGAACTGATTGCAATTCTTGATCATTTTAACATCCAGGTAATTGCTAAATTTATTTTTCAGATTAATTAATGAAAGTATCATTTTATTGGTGTGATTTTTTTTTTTTTTTTTTTTTGTTTTTTTTTTTTTTTTTTTTTGCCTGTGGCATGTGTATAAGTAAATAAGATGACTTCATGGTAAATTGAAGAATATGTGTGCTCCATTTGTAGTTGCATTGGTTTTATTAGCATAGTCTAGAATATCTTGTTAAAATGTATTTTAATAATGCTATAAAATATCCATGCTGTATAGGGAATCACAGGCCCATTTCATAACTAATCAATGATATGAACTTTGGTGGTGCTGCTAATCCGAGGTTGGTGGCCAGGTGTCTGACAGTAGTACCAGGTCTTATTTTTAAGAAGACAGATATAATTAAGGTCTAGGGAAGCATTGTGAAACATATTTCTGCTCCCTTCCTCTTTTTCTTCTTTCTCTTTGAAATAAGGACTCACTGTGTAGCTCTGGCTGACCTGGAACTCACTATGTAGATCAGGCTGTCTGAGATCCTTGTCTGCCTCCCCTCCCAAGTGCTAGAGTTAAAGATGAACATCACCACACTGAACTGTAAACACTTTTTAAAGCAATAAAAAGCACCAGCATTTACTTAAAGGAGGGGGTGTTTTTAAAATCATTGTTTTACTTAAAAATTCAATAGTTGTCGTTTTAATGTTAAAAATGAAAAGTTTCAGTTTCTTTGTTATACTAGTCATGTGTAATTAACCTGTGAGTATTTTTAGCATCATAAATTGCTTTGTTTGTAGTACCATAGTTGTTATTAAATAATAAGCACCCTGAATCTTTTAAAGAAGAATATGTATTTAAAACCTTTTCACCTTATACATTCTGGTTGCCAGTTGTTCTTTTGTTTAAGTTATAGCTTATTTAAAATGACTTGTGCTCCAAATGTTAAACAAGATTATGTTTCCATTGGTTTTTATATTGTCTTCACAAAGTTATAAAGACATGAGAAATCTTAAAGCGCTGGTGTGAAAAAACAGTACTTGCTGTCATGGTTCTGAAAACAGGTAACTGGGCTGAACTTTGTGTACTGAAGCTCAGTGACTTGTCCAAGGCTGCATAATCGTGTAAGGACAGAGTTCAAGTAAGAATGTAGGAAAGCTGACTCACATGCTATGTATTTACCTATATTGTCCTTTGATGTTGGTGACATTAGGTAGTAACCTATGAAAGTGAAAGCCTATTTTTTTTTCCTTTGAGTGTGTGTGTGCGTTTGTGGTATGCATGTACACATGTGTGAGTGCTTATGTGGGGGACCAAAGTTGACATTGGGTATCTTCAGTTGTTTGTCACTTTATTCAATCAGATTCTCTCACTGTGCCTGGAGCTCACCAATTCTTGCTAGTCTAGCTAGCCAGCTCATCCTGGGGATCCTTTGTCTCTGTCCCCTAAATTCTAGGGCTAAAATTGACTGCTATTCCTGACTAGGGGTCTGAACTTGAGTTCTCATGGGTACATAGCAAGTGTTTTACCCACTTAGCCATTTCCCTAGCTCCTGAAAACCCCAGTAAAAGCACATGCGAGGCTTCTTGAGTACCTCCTGTAGGAGAATGCTAAATATGGCTACAATGTATTTTGGTATTGTTCTATTATGAAGCATTATCTTGTGTAAATGTGTAATATTGCTTTTTGTATTTTAGTCCTAATGCTGTAAGCTTTGACTAAAGCTTAACTTTCTTGATTGACCACTGGTCATTTATAATGTATAGTTTAGTTTAAAGCATTAAAATAAAATACTTTTTAATACCCTTTAAAAATAATTTGTTTCAGGTGGACAATCCAGTTTCTGTTTTAACACAAGAGATGAGCAAGCAGTTCTTACAGTCCAAAAATGAGGGCGACAAATACAAAGTAAGAGAATAAACTAAATATAAACCTAAGGTCATGCTTTCAGATACATAGAAATTTACTCAGATAATGGGTACTGAGATTTTCTTTTTCCCTTCAGAGTCACCCACTTAAAGTAATATTGTAAAGTAGATTTAAACATTGCCAAGTAAGATATAAGTATAATTTTTGGTAGTTCATTTTTTTCATTTTAAGAGAATACATTATTTTTTCAAATAACCTTTAAGAAAATACAGTGGAATGAAAAATTGGCCACATATATCCTAATACAAACTTTAAACCATTTAAAACTTTAAAGCTAAGGAATTAATTAATTCTAAAACTTAGTATGTAGTCTTCTGAATGAGTGTTGATTCTTCCTAGTTTAGAAATTTTAGATGCATTAAGATCAAAGATAGGAATACAATGCCATTTTTACTTTGAAAATAGAATTTGTGAAAAATGAAGGAATTTTTTAAATTTCCAAGTTGTATTATTTTCATGCTTAGAGGTATTTCTTTCATGGGGTATTAAGAGCTTTTACAGTTGACTGTGTAGATATGGATATAGCGTGTTCAGTAATTTTAATGTAAAATAAAGTTTGTTCCCTGTGTTTATATATATGTGCTTACATTTTTAATGCCTTTTATATAATTGGTTTAAAAGTTTTGGGAGCTAAAATTGCTCCCCCCCTTTTTTTGCACAGAAAAGCCTACAAAGTCCTAAGTGTATTTTTCTTTTTGTTGATGTAGTTCTTTATGAAAGCAACCCAGCTTGAGCAGATGAAGGAAGATTATTCATATATTATGGAAACAAAAGAAAGAACAAAGGAGCAGATAAATCAAGGAGAAGAGGTTTGTAAATACTGTAAATCTTTTTGAGATGAGCTCAGCTCCTAGATTGCTTAAGGTAAAAGTATCAAAATTACATTCCTGTGTATAATAAATCTGTCTTCTTTAAACAAATGGCATTTTTTTTCTAGCACACTGAATTATATGACATTTAATTAATGTGGTGATTTAACAAGGCAACTCCATGTAGTTAAAAGGAGGTTTATTTTGGGATAACTTACAGCCAGTAAAGGTGTTGGTTATAGGATCCAGAACAGGTGAGGTGCAGTCCAGCAGGGTTCTCTGAAGAACCCTGACTTGGTCTGCCATCCAGTATCCAGGATCATGAGGAACCATGAGGGTCAGCAGGGATGAATCTCAGGTCTTAAGGGCTCCCATCTCAGCCATGCCCCAGGGGCAGGTCATAGGTGGCAGGCTTGGCAGTTACTGGCTGCCTCACTGAGGCGGTGCTTCAAGGTCAAAGCTGGAACAGCTACCCGCTAAATTAAATTTCTATAGTTAGGCATTGAATAGCTGTAATTTTGTTTTGTAATAATGGATATGTATGTCTTTCCTCTGTTAGACTAAACGAGAAGATAAGGCTGTGTCTTTTATTTCCTATCCCTTGTATAACTAATTGGTTGTACAAGGTATCATCAATTCTCACTATAAGTAGTTTAAAATGTTAATATAACATTTATTTTGTTGGGTACAAACTGCAAGGTGTTGTAAACATAGTATGCGTTTATAGTAGATGTCTCATCATATCAGCAAGATATTAACATTTTTTTTAAGCAGCCAGTGGCTTGTTAGCTGCTGTCAAATCATATGTTAACATTTTGGCCACCTGGCAAATTACTTGAGTCTTTAATTTTTAAATAACTTCTACCAATCATGCCCTGTTTCATTCTGTTTTAAAATTTTGAGTGGCTTTTATGTTGTCTTAATGGGATTATCAAATAGGAAGTTGATTATATGAATTAGAAATACAGGAGTAAAATCAGATCTTGATAACATTTTGAGTCCAAATATGTAAAATATTTTATGTAGATCACTAGGAGAGGAGGAAAGGCAGACCCAAGCCTGAACTATGAGAAGGGGTCATGGGAGCCATGTAAGACAAGGGAAGAGAGATTTGAGAAGGAAGTGGTCATGGCTGAGCGATGTAAAAGTTGACAGAACTTCTCTCTCTGTTAAGTTGCAGAGTCTTCATGGGTGTTTATGGCAGGGGCAGGTTTCAGTAGTGAGAAAAACAGGAGTTAGGAAATGGAGCAGATTGAGATAGTTTTCATGAAACTTGGTGAGAAAGGAGAAATGAAACTGTAGGGTCGGAGACGACCTTTTAGATAACCAGGCCACCTCTGTTCTTCAGCAGTCCCTGCAGATAGCTACTTTAGGTTTGTAGTACGAATGTTGAGAATTGTTGAGTGTTTCCATCTGCTGACTGGTACAAGCTCTGAGGGCAAAGGCAGGGAGGAAAAAGGAGGAGGCAGGGAAAGTAGTAAGTTGGAAGGATTGGTAATAGATTGAAGGAATTTTAGCAGAGGGAAGGTAAATTGGATTAGATAGGGAATCAAAGTAAGATTACAGCGGGGCTTGGTTGAATACAGAAAATGACTGAAGGGGACTGTCCACACAGGTGTAAAGAACATGAGGTCTGGGAGCCCCGGAATAACTTATTCTAATGACATGATCTTTTGTATTTGTTTCATTTATTATTAAAAGAGAATTAGGACTTGTTTGATTTGGGGGAATCAATTCCTTCTCTTTCTGGTATCTTGAATAGTTTTTGGGTACTTGTTATGCTTTATCTGAAGATTAGGAGAATTAAGAGATAGGGATGTTTAGATAGGGACTTAAGCGGGAAATGAAAAGGAAGCTTGAAGACTTGTGTGGTCTTGAACCTATAATCCTTTGCTCGTAATATTTGATCATTTTTATAGTGCAGAGATTAGCAAAATTATTGTACTTAGCACCACCGTACCAAAAGACTAAAGTATTGTGTGATATTTTGATCATGTTCTGACAAATAAAACTTGCTTGGAGTCAGAGGGCGTTGCTATCCACTAGCTGACCAAAATTAACCACGGAGGTTTTTGGAGGACCAGATAGATAGGACAGGAAGTAGTAAGGCAGGGCGAATTGAGGTCTTGGCCTTTTTGGAGGAATGGAGCAGGGTAGAGAGGACTGGTGGCTTCTCTGCTTCTCTGATCTTTTGTGCTCTTACTCTTACCTGACCCCTGAATTTTTATTGATAAGTATAATTAGGGGTTGGGAATTTAGCTCAGTGGTAGAGCTCTTGCCTAGCAAGTGCAAGGCTCTGGGTTCAGTCCTCAGCTCCGAGGGGGGGGGGGGAGAATAATTAGAATAACCCTTCACTAAAGTCTTTTACTTTAATGAAGTCATTTTCTAACAAGCTTTTGTGTAGTACCATTTTAGGCCTTGTTTTAAATAACATATTCACAAAATGTTTCCTTCTGTTTGTAAAAATATCTGTTTTTCTTTTAAGCGACTTACTGAACTAAAGCGCCAGTGTTTGGAGAAAGAGGAACGTTTTCAAAATATTGCTGGTTTAAGTACAATGAAGACTAATTTAGAGTATTTGAAACATGAAATGGCTTGGGCAGTGGTAATTTTCACTTTATTCATCTATATTCATTTGTCACTTTCACAGACTTTGTAACTGTTCTTTGTAATAATTTTGTATGTGATTGTATTTCAGGTCAATGAAATTGAAAAACAATTGAATGCTATTCGAGATAACATCAAAATTGGTGAAGAACGTGCTGCCAAACTTGACAGGAAGATGGAAGAACAGCAGGTACTTAGGGGCTCTTCTTACAAGGATGTAGTTAGGTCATGAGATTGCTGGTACTGGTTTTGACCCACAGACCACCTGTGTGTTATCCGTACTTAAATCTGTTAAACTTGAAAGACTGTGTAGCAGCTGCAACTGTTTGAAACAGAACTGTATTTGTCTGTAATAATCCTGTCTGAGACTTGGCTCCTGACTTCTCATGCATGTGGACAATAGGACCTTGTTAAGGAATTGAAACATAGAACCCTTGAGAAATAGGGAGGTTCCGAAATAACTGTCAAGTTGATCCACCTTCAAGTTAAGTATTAGTACATGAAGGAATTAGAAACGAGAACTGCCTAGAGAAACTTTTAGGGTCCTATGACTCATGATCAGGAATCTGGATTTCCCATTGGTAGCGTTTGATAACTTGTTAGGTCTGGTCAAGTGTAGTTCTGTGGTTTTAGTGTATTCACAGGCTGTGCAGCTGCTCCATAGAGCTTCCTGCGTGGTCATGCTCAAGGTGGAATTCAGCTCCTTTGATCTTTATAGGTAGAGCTTCTTAAAACCGCTCCACTCCCACCCCTTTATCACCTGCATGTAGGTACATAAATGTGTTTGTAAATCAAACATTTACTGATACTAAATCATAAAGGAATTTCAGTTTGTTTTTTTAGACAGGGTTTCTCTCTGTCCTAGAACTAGACCAGACTGGCTTTACACTCAGAGATCCTCTTGTCTCTGCCTCCTGAGGGCTAGGATTAAAGGTATGCACCATCACTGCCTGACAAAGGAATTTATTTTAACATAATTCTTTGGTGAACATATAATTTTACTTTAAAGACTAATGCAAATTTATATACTAATAAGATGGGTGTACATTTTTTTAATATAAAGAATTAAATCTTTAGCTCAGTATTTGATACTGTGCAACATACAGTGTCTTTAATGTCTTTTTCAGAGCTGATGTCTTAGTTTTATAATTGTCAGTGCTGAGAATGCCACTTTATATAAATACGTAGTACAAAGTACACTATGAGTACCAAGTAACAGAAGGCTTTTAGGCTCATTTCAGAAATTGTTGGAAATTCTATTTTAATCTCAAGGAGGAATTTTTTAAGCATTATTTTGCTTTTGGAAACAGGATTTCTCTGTGTACCCCTGGCTATCCTGGAACTCGCTCTGTAGACCAGGCTGCCCTCAGAAATCTTTCTGCCTCTGTCTCCTGAGTGCTAGGATTAAAGGTGTGTGCCACCATGCTGGGTTTAAGTAATGTTTTGATGTTTTTTTGTGTTTATGAAACTGGAGTTAGAAACTCAGAGCAGTTTTTAAAAGCAAACATCCTAACACAGTAATAATCCAGATAGAATAATTTGATACAAGCTATAGAATGATGGTAGGAAAATATTAAAAGCCCTTGTTCTCCTTAATTAAGCCATTATGTTACTCTAACTTTCTATATATAATAAAAAGTGCAGTTCATAACATAAAACTCTGAGACCTGAGCAGAGGTGTGTTTTGGGCAGGTTTGTTACTGTTATGTGACATAATGGTGTATACAGTGCAGAGTGCTCATACTGTGTTCACAACCAAGGCTGCATGCAGTGAAGGTGCATGATACAGCATGGGCAAGTACTACAGGAACACCTTGAATTCATTATGGATTTGATTTTCCTTTCCTTTTTGGTCATTCCATTATATGCTGTCACATGGGTACAGTTCACTTTAAGAAGCAGTGCTTTATAAGATGGCCTTCCTCATCCTACTGTGTGTGTCCTTGTGGATTACTAATGTCTTAGTAGTTTATTCTCCTTTGCTTAAGGAATTTCTGCCCCCAAGCATAGTGATAGTTTAGGATGTGATCTTCCCCAGCTTACTGCTTCTTGTCTGTCTTTAAGACAACAGATGTCTTTACTTTTAAGTCTTCTGTTGTTAATCCATCTATGGAAGCAAATAGCGTATTTGCTTTGCGATCTCTGGGCAAGGTTTCTCACTCCCTCTTCAGGTAATAAATGGAAATTCAACCCTTGCCACCACTTGTAGATGGAGTTTTCTTTCCTGGCCACCAGTTCCAAGTACCCACACAGAGGCTTATATTAATTACAAATACTTGGCCAATAGCTCAGCCTTATTACTAACTAGCTCTTACAACTTAACCCATTTCTGTTCTGTGTGCTGCCCCTGAAGTTTTTACCTCTGTTCCATTTTGTGTGTCCGGCTCATTCTGTGTCTGGCTAGTGACCCTTTGACTCTGCCTTCTTCACCCCAGCATCCTTAGTTTGGTTGTCCTGCCTATACTTCCTGCCTGGCTAGTGGCCAATCAGCTTTTTATTAAACAATCCGAGTAACAGATCTTCACAGTGTACAAAAGGATTATTTCACAGCAACCACTCTCAACTCAAATTTTGTTTTTGACATAATAGTCTAATTTTTTTTTCTTCAAATACGTTTATCCTCTTAGCCTTATTTCCCAGCTTGTTGTAGAGGAAATTTTTAAGAACTTTGCTTCAGAGATATTCCCCAGTCTAATATGAAACCCAATTTGAGTAATAGATGCTCACCTCTTTTTCAAAAACTAGTTGTTATGAAGAAAGCTGTAAGGCTTTCTTCTGTGTAAGCATTTTGATATTTTTATAGTAAATTATAAACTTTTGGAGGGTAAGGAGTATCTTACAGTTATAGTTATGTCCTTCCTACCATTTATCTTTTTAATTTTTAAATTTATTTGTATGAGTGTTTTTCCTACATACATGCTTGGTGCCTGTAGATGCCTGAAGAAGTTGTTGGATCCCCTTGAACTGAAGTTACAGAAGGTTTTGAGCTGCCATGTTTCTGTTGGAAATTAGACCTGGGCCCTGTGTGAGAACACCAAGTGTTTTTAAACTGCTGAGCCATCTGTCCAATCCCCATTCCTACCATTTTTTATGCAGCACTTTTGACATGACTTTATTATTGTTTGTAGACTGACATTTGAATAGAAGGTTTCTGAAGAAATAGTATATTATACAAACTTTAAATTTTTGTTAGCTTGAAAACCATTTTTAGCCAGGCAATGGTGGTACATGCCTATGTCCAGGCACACTTTAATTAACTACCTTTTCTGTTGCCAGCACAAATGCTTCTTTCTCTTTGAACCATCCTGATGTTTCCTGGCATACCTATAGTTTCTTTTTCTATGTTTTCATAATTATACCTAGATATATTCTACCTAGTATCCTGTTTGTATTCTCTGTTACATGGTCTTTTTCATTTAAAGACATTGTTTGTATACTCAGAGGATAGCGTCTATTGGGTAATTAAATGGGTCAAAGTTAGTATTTTTATGTAACTGTTTGATTGCCTAATATCTTTCCTTTTAACTTTAAAGGCTTCATCTCATTTAGTTACTTGTTTTGTGTTTGTGTGTGCATGTATCTGCACATGCACGTGCACATGTAAGCCTGGCATCCATAGATGCCTTGGGTCATGCCAAAAGGTCAAACAGCTAAGAGAGTCAGTTCTTGCTGGGCGGCGATGACACACGCCTTTAATCCCAACACTTGGGAGGCAGAGCCAGGTAGATCTCTGTTGAGTTCAAGGCCAGCCTGGTCTATAGAGCAAGATCCAGGACAGGCACCAAAATACACTGATAAACCCTGTCTTGAAAAACTAAAGGGGGGGGGGTGGGAGTCAGTTCTCTTCAGCATACTGGTTCTCAGGTTGAACTTCGGTTGTCAGGATTGGCAGTGGGTGCCCTACCTGTTGCGTCATCTCACTTAGTCCTTACCTGATGTCTTAAAATTAATTTTGTTGGAATGTGACCAGTCCATGTTTTTATGTTTTTCTTGTTATTGAAGAAAAATAACTAGAGTAATATTTTTTTCTTAAAGGTCAGACTTAATGATGCAGAAAAAAAGTACAAAGATATTCAAGATAAACTAGAAAAAATTAGTGAAGAGACAAATGCACGAGCACCAGAATGTATGGCATTGAAGACAGATGTCATCGCAAGGACAAGAGCCTTTAATGATGCTGAGGTGGGGGAATTTCTTAACTCAGAATATCAAAAAACTCTACCGAGCATAATGACTGTTTTTCTTGTCTGTTAACTATTTTTTAAAGTAACGGTTTCCTATCTGGATCAAAATAAAAGTGTTGTGTTCAGTCATTAAAAAATGGTGTTTCAACTGGGCGGTGATGGTGTATGCCTTTAATTCCAGCACTCTGGAGGCAGAGGCAGGCGGAACTCTGTGAGTTTGAGGCCAGCCTGGTCTACAGAGCGAGTTCCAGGACAGCCAGGGCTACACAGAGAAACCCTGTCTCAAAAAACAAAACAAAATGTTTAAAATGGTCATGGGTGTGCTTTGATGGAATGTGTATGTATTTCTACATGTTACTAAAATACATTTAATTTTTTGTTAGGTTTTGTATAACCGCTCCTTAAATGAATATAAAGCATTAAAGAAAGATGACGAACAGCTTTGTAAAAGAATTGAAGAGCTGAAGAAAAGGTAGTCCAGTAACATGGCATTTCATAGTCACCTCACTGTGTAATGATACGCACTGGGAGGGGTGCATCTTCTATGTTGGTGTTATGAAAGTTTATTTACAGTGACTCATGCCTTTTAAATATTAGATTTTATTTAACCTATTTTCCTACTTTTGTTTTATTACGCTCCTTAGCACTGATCAGTCTTTGGAACCAGAGCGCTTGGAAAGGCAGAGAAGGATATGTTGGTTGAAAGAGAAAGTCCAGGCCTTACAGGACCAGGAAAGTGCCGTCAATCAGGAGGCTGCACAGTTTGAGCAAGCTATAGAGAAGGACAAACAAGAACATGTCCGAATTAAGTGAGTTCACACCTTCCACTTACTCAAATATTATGTAGTTTTGCTGTTAGTGTGAAGAGAAAATAGCTTTTTCTATGATAGGAGTAAAGAGTCTTTGACGTCATCTTTTTTGAGTCGGGGTCTCACTAAGTAATTCTGAATGGCCTGGAAAGCTCAGCGTAGCCCAGCTTGACCTCCTCTCACAGATCGACTGCCTCCTGAGTGCTGGATTTGAAGACCTGTGCCACCATCGTGAACTGATGGAAGATGTTTTCTAACACTTTACTCGTACATTTTGACAATCTGTGGGATTCTCATTCCATTCCTGTTGAATCATTTTTAATGTGTGTTTTGAGGACTGCTGACTATTTTTGTCTGGTAACTCAGTTATTTGTAAATTTTAAAAAATCACATTTTTAGCATAGTAGGGTTATTGGTTAACATGGAAATATGTGGAAAAAGCCCTAATATTTCTGTATAACTTAGCACATAATGTGTTTCCTTTCTCTGCTTTTGTATTTTAGGAGAGAAGATTTAGATGTGAGGCATACACTGAACTATAATCAGAGACAATTGAAAGAACTGAAAGATAGTAAAACTGATCGACTAAAAAGATTTGGTCCTCATGTTCCAGCTCTTCTGGAAGCAATAGATGATGCTTACAGACGGAGACAGTTTACTCATAAACCTATCGGCCCTTTAGGTATTTGCCACTGTTATTGAGAACATCATTAACTTGAGTTCTTAGTTCGAGGAATTAGTCTATTTAAACTAGCTATCTAGTTATGTATAAACTTGATTCACACTAAGAGGTTTGGACAGTGGTGTGGGACAGTTAGTTTTATGTATCTTGTCCTGAGCTCTTAATCCTGCTCTTCCTGTCTCTGCCTCCTGAGTCCTGGGATTACAGGCATGTGTCACCACCCCTGGCTCACATTCTTCAACATAATGAGAAAATCCTTTAAATATCTACCTTTCCTTTTGTTCTTTTAAAACAAACTGAGAAGAGAAAGAGAATTGAGGGTAAGAATGTTAATTGATTAGCCAGTCTGTTGACATGACAACGTAATACAGAGACAAAACAGAAGCGGCATTCCTCTCAGATCCGTATGCTCCTTATAAAGTGTCTTTCTCTTCATCTGTTACTTCATTTAAACAGTGTGATTTCAAAGTCTGTGCTAATGTTCATTTGTGTCTACTTAGGGCTTCAGAAACATTTTAATCACATTCTTTTATAGATCTCTGCAGAACTATATTGCTTAAATATTTATGAATCTTATAATTTTTTTTCTTTTTTCTTTTTTTTTTTTTTTGGTGTGTGTGTGTGTGTAACTTTTAGGTGCTTGCATTCATCTGCGGGACCCGGAGCTTGCTTTGGCCATTGAATCTTGCTTGAAAGGACTTCTGCAAGCCTATTGTTGCCATAACCATGCAGATGAGAGAGTGCTTCAGTCACTGATGAAAAAATTTTATCCACCAGGGACCTCTCGGCCCCAGATAATCGTTTCTGAATTTCGGAATGAGGTATATGATGTGAGACTCAGGTAATCAGATAACTACACTGTCTCTGGTTTGCTTAATTATGTGCACAACTAAAAAGATATTTCATAGGATGCTTAAAGAACTGTGTTTTCTTCTCAAGGGGACAGTAGCCAGAATTCTTTCACTATCTTCTGGCTAATCATTCCACTCAATAATAGAGGAAGTTGAGCTTGGCACAGTGGTGTACACTTGTAGTTCCAATTATTCAAGAGATAGTTTGAACCTAGGATCTAGAAACTCACTGCAAAATTTTAAAAAAAGTGAAACAAAATAAACGTATTGAGTTCCAAGATTGAATTTTGAAATTTCTTTTCCATCTTCACTTTCATCATAAATCCCATTTCTGATTGTTTTGTAAGTCTAATGCTACATGATTGATTTTTGAGTAAATTTATATACAAACACATAATTGCCTTTGGTTTTTCTAAGCATTACTAAAATTAGATCATAAAATATAGGTATATTTCTGAAGCTTGATCCTAATTACTCGTACCAAATAAAACCAGGAATCAGATATTGGGTTAAAAGCTGAAAAACCAGAGAAGCAAAGGAGCAGCCATAGTCACTTGTTACTTACCTCTTCGAATCCTCCGACCGAATGGGCGTCTCCACTTCCTTGTATTGTTGTCTCTACCTCCCTAGTGCAGGGAGTAAAGGTGTGCACCATTACCTGTTTCTCCTTGAGACTGGTAGCCTTGAACTCCTTCCTGATCTTCCTGCTTCCTCCTCCCAAGTGCTAGGATTAAAGGTGTGTGCCACCACTGCCTGGCCTCTATGGTTAACTAGTGATTAGCTCCACACTCTGATCTCCAGGCAAGCTTTATTTGTCAGAACACAAAATATCACACAAAATAGTTCAAATGAGGCATTCATTAAGTCATTTGTTATGTGAGACAGAGGAGATGATAAATGACCAGTCCTTTAATGAATTTGTCTAAGGATAGAAACGCTTAGTTGCTTATGTTGAAAATGACCCAGTGGACTCCCACACCTGAACTGGTGATCTGCCTGCTCAGTGGGTGCCATGTGGGGAAGTTGGAAGCTGTTCTATAAAGTTGTGTGAGGGAGAGCGGCTCCTTGAACCTGTTTTGTTGTTTGTTTTAATGAAGGATTTACTTCATTTTTAACTATAATGGTGTAGAGTGTCTTGTGGTTTGTACAGAAGAGTTCCCACAGAACCGAAAAAGGGCGTTTGATTTCCTGGTGCTGGAGTTAAAAGATAGTTGTGAGCCATTTGATGTTGGTGCTGGGGTCCTCTCTAAGAACAGCAAGCACTGAACCATCTCTCCATCCAGCCCCCCATTAGTCCTGAACAGTTACATGGACTGCTCTGTGATCTGCCATGGGGCCTGGTGAAGGGGAATGCTTATCACTGCCCAGCTGGCTTGTTGTTTTCCAGCCTATGTGTTTCCAAAGACTTAGCAATATATAACAACTCTGACTTACAGTATACTGTGGAAGGGTATGAAGGTAAGCTAAGTTTGTGCAGTATACTCCTAATTTCTTGGATAAAATGAGTTCATGTGCTAAGAATGAGGACATCGAACTGGAGTTGTAGGAGGCATGGAAATTATGCTGTTGAAAAGTCTAAACCAGCTGCTGAGAATCTCCGAGGAAGTTGAATGATACTCCACTTAAGATATGAAACTTTGGTAGCTGCAGGGGTTTTTTGTTAGTAATACTTCTCTATAGATGTCAGTAAGAATGTCTTTATTTTTATTAAGACTGAAGTAGAATGTGTGGGTGTGATGAGGAGAGAAGCAGTTGAGGATACTGCTGAGAAATTATTTCAAAGAAAATGGAGCCTGGGAGAAAAATGCAGACCTGCTTGGCTTTGTGAAATATTCAGGCTTAACAGGTGTAGCCTGGGAGGAACAGTTTTGGTAAAACTGAGAAGTACAGAAGTTGTAGCTTAATCAAAAAGGTCAGGGTGATGGCAAAGTAGTGTCTTAGTTGGCATCAGCTCCAATGTGCTAAAGTACAGGGTTGCTGAAGTCGTGGAAAGATTTTAATTTTAGTATTTTTTATTGTTGACCGGCTGTTGATTAAGAGCAGGTTTGATATGATAGGAGTAGATTTAGTAATCTTTAGCCTACTGAAATATTCTGAAGGGGATGTGTGCATATGTGTGTTGAAGAACTTTGGTTGAAAATTAAATATAACATACATTTTAATGTAAAAAAGCAATTATTAGAATGTCGACTATATCAGATACTTAGGATGCATTTTATTCATTTGTGAAAGGATTATTGGTTAGTGAGTTCTCAGGACCTGCTTGCCTCAGTGATGGGCTTGCATCCGTGTCCAGCTTTTTATGTGGATTTCTGAGGGTTTGAACTCAGGTCCTCCTGCTTGCAAATCAGGCATTCTTGATGAGCCATCTCTGTGAGATGTGTTTTTGTGAACTAATTTTTATCTTTGTGTACAGTTCTAGTAGGAATTATACCTGTTATAATCAATTTTTAGTATGATGGCTGTGAGTCTGGGTTCCAAATCTATATTGCCTACTTTAAATTCTAACCTGGCCACTTAACTATCTTTAGGATGTTGGGGAACTTGTTAAGCTCTCTGGAGTGTCCTCATCAGAAAAAATAGAGATGTTATAGTTGTTGTTATGAGATTACATGAGCTCGTATTTTTTTTATGTGCTCAGAACAGTGTCTTCACACACTGTTTAGTGTAATTGTTCAGTGAATAAATGAATCTCTTATAGACATCTTCAGATATTTCATATTCTCTATAGTCTACTTACCCATTAAATTACATAGTTTTTCTTTTTTTGTGTTTAAAGTTTGTTAAGTTGCCGTCTCCCTCTGTCTTCTAGAGCTGCTTACCATCCAGAGTTTCCGACTGTCCTGACAGCTTTAGAAATAGACAATGCTGTTGTTGCAAATAGCCTGATTGACATGCGGAGCATAGAGACCGTGCTGCTGATTAAAGTAAGGCCAGTGGTTCATCGTCTTTCCGCCGTCTAAAAGTCTTCATAATCAGTTTTGTTTGTCTTACTGTTATCTCATGGGAAAATCTATGGGGTGATATAGAGTTGGTTGATTTGTGCAATTTGTTCCCCAAGGGACCTGTCACTTTTGGCTTTTTATAAAGTATTTCATAAATACATTATTGTTTTGAGAATTATTGCAATGTTTAAATAAAAATACTTGAATTTTCTTACCAGTAGATGAAATTTTTAAGTATATACATCAGAAATACTTTGGCAGTGTTTTAAAAATGTATTTTCTTTTGTATTCTAGAATAATTCTGTAGCTCGTGCAGTCATGCAGTCCCAAAAGCCACCCAAAAACTGTAGAGAAGCTTTTACTGCTGATGGTGATCAGGTTTTTGCAGGACGTTATTATTCATCGGAAAACACAAGACCCAAGTTTCTAAGCAGAGATGTGGATTCTGAAATCAGGTTTGAATTAAGTTAGCTTCACTGTATTATTCCCACTGTCTCCTTTGGATTCCATTTTCTTTAGTGGTGTTCCCTTAGGGGTTACTTCACAAAAGAATTGAGATTTATTTCAGTGTTTGGTCTTAAAAGTTTATTTAACTAGATGTAGAATTTAGCATTCATTTGACAACAGTATTGAGGACTAAATGCACAGAATGTCCTCAAGAGCTGATCTACATAGTGTCACCTGACCACAAGCTGTAAGGACACTGTTCTGAGAGCGTAACTAGTGCTTGCTTGGGTAGCACATGTACTGAAATTGGAACAGTACAGAGAAGACTAGTGTGGTTCCTTTTAAAGGATGGATGACAGATTTGAAGCATTTTATGTTGAAGAAATAGAGCTGTATCACTACTCACTATTGAGTCACAATGATTATTTTTCCTTAGCAAGAGTCCAGCATGCTAAGCTACGTTCAGACATAGCCTTCCTTATTTGTCTCATATATAGAATTATATTGTTTGAGAGAGCAAAAAAGAAAGTTGGTTAACACAATTAAAACATAGGCCTACAGCCAGGTGGTGGTGGAGCACCCCACCACTCGGGAGGCAGAGGCAGGCGGATATCTGTGAGTTCGAGGCCAGCCTGGACTACAGAGTGAGATCCAGGAAAGGCACAAAGCTACACAGAGAAACCCTGTCTCGGGAAAAAAACAAAATAAAAAACAAACAAACAAACCATAGGCCTAGGAAAATAGGGCTGGTAGAGAAGATAAATTAAGAACTTACATCAGGAGCTGGTAGCGCATACCTTTAGCCCAGGAAATGGTGGGGTGGGGCAGAGGCAGGTGGATTTCTGTGAATTAAAGGCCAGCCTGGTCTACAGAGCTAGTTCCAGGACAGCCAGGACTACACAGAGAAACCCTCTATCCAAACAGAAAAACAACAACAAAAAAAAAAATTGAGAAGGTTAAAAAAAAGATTCATGTCCTTAATTACATAGAGAGGTTTGCGAAAAAGAAGTTTTGGTACCATTAGTATCTTGAGTTCTCAACTAAACTAATTCTGATTGGTGAAGTGATGGCTTAGGCTTGAGTTAATGACTTAGAGTATGTATAAAATAAATTATCTTCAGATAAATATCTAGTGCTGGTGCCGTCCTTGCTGCTTGGGAGACTGTGACAGAAGGATCATTAGTAGAGTCCTGCCTATTATGTGTGAGGTCTTAGATTCATCCTCCAGTACCACTACAAAAGAAAGCAAGCTCTTGACAGGAGAAAGAAAGGGCGTCTAAGAAAGTTGAGCCAAAGTAAAAGGATTCTAAGTGACTTGAATGTTTAAGGAAAGGAGGGTTGTTGATGTTTCTCATTTTCAGATGTTGAATAGTTTTCATGTGATTATTAAAGTAGCATGAAATTACTACAAGGTTTTGGTTAAATAAAATTTCTTGATTAGCAGTAGAAAAAGGTTGGGAAAAAACCCACCAAATGAATATTGTGGCACTTGGTTTAGTTTTAGTTTTTTATCCCAAAACAGTCCTGTTAGGAAAACATGCATGATGGTTGGGCAGGCTCTCAGGGTGATCACCTGTGTGGTGTGGAACTGCATGGTGAAACAGTTTGATAGACTTCGCTGAAGTCTACTTCAGAGTGTATGCTTTCATTTGTTCCTTCAGACAACAAATACTTAGTGTTTGCCAAAGATGCTCAGAAGGGATGGGCATTTATACAGGAACGGTGCTATGGAAACCCACAAACTGCAGTCCAGAACAAGGGATTGATGACTAGTTTGGAATACACTCATCTCCCACAAGCAACTTGTAGCCTTAGCTCATGCTTGGTGTCTCTTATTAGGTAACAAATGGTCTTTTTTGTGTGTAAACTTTTTCATGTGTAAGCAGAAGACTGAAACGGCAGCTTTTGCTGCATTGCTGCAGAGACCTTAATGATTTGGGCATCTGCCATCCTTGTTTTCCATCTCTTGGTTCTCTTTTTCCTCCAGTCTCTGCACACTCTCAGCATTTTTTCTTAAACAAGAATTGTTAAGCTAGTCTTGAAATCTTCTGTCCCCACCATGTGTGTGCGCACATGCACCCATGCATCACCCAGTTGACCTAGCTGGTAAAAACATCCTTCCAGAACCACATTTGCATTCCTGTAGTTGTGAGGACATCAAGTATCTTTTCCTATTCATATTTAATGTTGCATATAGTCTGGTTGTCTTCTTTTTGAGGGCTTGAGTCTTCGTCCTGTTTCTGGCTCCATTTATGTATGTGCATAATTCCTGGAGAATAGAATTCATATTATAATATTTGCTAATCAAAAAAGTAAAACTTAAGTTTAGATGATCTTTTGACATTTCTACTAGTATTCACTAATAACTTGGTAACTTAATAATTTAAAGGATTATAGAACTGGTTTGGTGGAATAGGGTTTTGTAAATAAGTTACTACAAATAAACTTTTCTTGTAAGGGAGCAAGATATCTAATATAAGAGTTTATTGTTTTTTCTTCTCTATCAAGCGATTTGGAGACTGAGATTGAAAATAGAAAGACCCACATAATAAATCTTCAGCACCATCTCTCTGCCCTTGAGAAGTCTATTAAACGAAATGAAGAACTTCTTAAAAGGTGCCAGCTACATTATAAAGAAATAAAGGTAAAAATAATGAATAGCCTTTGGTTTTCCTAACTTAACCATTTCAAAGTTAGTTGTATAATTTTGTTATTCATGTTCTTCAATATTTTGGCCTCAATCCCCTTATTTTCCTTAGGAATTACTATATTATATGTTATATTAATTAGCATTTCTTTCGCTGTGATAAAATATCATGACCAAAAGCAACTTGGGAAGGAAAGGTTTTGTTTCCAGCTTGAAGTTTCACATCACAGCCCATCATTGAAGGAGTCAGAAGGAACACGAGGCAAGAGCATAGAAGCAGGAGCTGATGCAGCAGTCATGGAGGAGTACTGTTTACTGTCTCTCCTCATGACTTGCTCAGACTGCTTTCCTAGAGCACCCAGGACCCCAGCCCAATGTAGCACTGCCTGTGGTGAGCCAGGTCCCTTTACATCAGTGACCAATCAAGAAACTGCGCTACAGACTAGCCTACAGGCCAGTCTGGTGGGGGGAGTTTCTTAATTAACATTCATTCCAGATGGTCCTAGCTTGTGTCAAGTTGACGTAAAACTAGCCAGTACAAGTATGTTGTATCTTATCAGTACTTAAAGTTTGCTGTTGGGTTTTCTGTTATGTTTTATTTTGGCTTTTGGGTTTTGTTTTGTTTGTTTGTTTGTTTGTTTTTATTTTTTTTGGAGACAGGATTTCTCTGTATTACCCTGGCTGTCATGGAACTCACTCTGTAGACCTGGCTGGCCTCAAATTTACAGAGACCCACCTCCCTCTGTTGCCCAAGTGCCTGGATTGAAGGCATGTGCCATCACTGCCTGGCAATACTTAGAGGTTTTAGAAATGAAAATAAAATTTTGTTGTTTTGATGTTAGGTACAGTTGTAAGCTACCTATAAATTTGAAAGAAAGCATTAGTAAAAATGGTGGATAATGTTACAGTGATTTTTCAGAAAATAGTTTTGACTACATGGACTTTTAGACCTCCCAAGGAATTATTTGGGCTTTTGGGAAACACTGGACTTTTAATCGTTCAATAATTTGAAACATTCGATACTTTAGAGAAGTATTTTCTCTTATCAACTCAATAGTGTGGTTATTTTGAATGCTAAAGTGGATTTCTGGTATCTTCTTTGCATAGACATGGATTAGTAGTGAGCGTGATCATGGTGGAATGCATGTGCACACTCACCCCTTTGGTTCATTTTATACCAATATATCCCCTTGGATGATATTAGATCCTGCTACATTATAAGCATAATAGAGCTTTGTGGTTTAATATCTTCTTCCAAGGACTTTGGTTTTTATTAAATTTTATATACTTCCTTTTTAGATGAAAATAAGAAAAAATATTTCTGAAATTCGGGAACTTGAGAATATAGAAGAACACCAATCTGTAGATATTGCAACCTTGGTAAAGTACTTTTCTTCAATTTAAATGTTAAAGGGTAAAACTGTAGTATTAGCTTATTGGCTCGCAGGTCTCACTTTTTCAAAGATCTTTTAATTGAAATTATTCTTAGTGATCACCCTCACCACTCATAGAATATATCAGATTCTACCTGGACTGTGGCCTTAGAGTTTTCAGTGTTCTGTGTATGTGACTGCATGCACAGTAGAGTTTTCTTCTACCTCATACTGGTAAACATGAGCAAAGTATGTGTCTCAACAGCTTACTGAAAGCACCTGGCGTTCCCTGACTTTGGGGCCAGAGGTCAGGACTACCTTTCCTTCAAGGTTAACCTTGGATTTCTTTCTCTAGGTTCCATCTATCTCTCTCTCTCTCTTTTTTTTTTTTTTTTTTTTTTTGAGACAGGGTTTCTCTGTGTAGTTTTGGTACCTGTCCTGGAAATCACTCTGTAGTCCAGGCTGGCCTTGAACTCACAGAGATCCATCTGGCTCTGCCTCCTACGTGCTGGGATTAAAGGTGCACACCACCACCACCCGGCTTCCATCTCATTTTTTGCATGTTTTTCTGTATTTAGATTTTTTAGCTATCTGTTTGATAACTTTTTCTGGAGTAAATCAACGTCATTCACGTCCTGCCTAAGGAGTGGCAGCGTGTTCTGTACAGTAAGCACTGAACAAAACAGGAGCGGTTCCTGCGCTGCAGAGCTGCCTAATGAGGGCTGTTGAGTTTTAGTAGCAGTCTTGTTTTCTGCTTTTTATTGACTGATTGATAAACTACCTTTTATAAAGGCATAAGTTATGTCTTAATTTCCTTTTACTTAGCCGACACCACATTGTCGCAGAATACATACTCATTAACACTAAGTACGTTTTGAAAGTAAGCGAGTTGATGAAATAAGTTACACTTTTGTTACAGTTTCAAACCAAATACTGTTTTACTTGACTGCTAGATACCATTCCTTCTTTTGAATCTTTTTGCCCTACTTGATACATTCCCATTTAAGTATGAAAGCATTTCATTGTTTGTTTGTTTTTATCTGAGCTCTGATTTTTCCTGTTGTCCTTTCCTCCTCAGAATTGCTCCTTTCTGTTCGTTGTTGGGTAACCTGTATTTCACTGTGTTCTTTAAATGTCACCAGGAGGATGAAGCTGAAGAAAACAAGGTCAAAATGCAGACGGTTGAGAGAAACATGGAGCAGCAGAAAGAGAACATGGAGAATCTCAGGAGTCTAAAACTGGAAGCCGAAAACAAGTACGACACAATTAAACAGAAAATTAATCAGCTGTCAGAGCTGGCAGATCCACTTAAGGTATGTATGCAATTGTTAGTCTTTGTGTTACAGCTTAGTATCCAGCAAACTCATTGAATCTTGCCTTAAAGAGCCTCACTGATTAGTTGTAAAAAACCATGTAAATTGTTGAATTAGGTCAGTTTATACAAAATATTCTGCTCTTGTCTTTAGAACAATAAACAATTGGGTCAGAACCTCTTTGTCCACAGAAGCAGCAGAAGTAGGGGTGTCTTTGGATACCTGTTTCTGGCCCATCTTTCCTGTAGTTGCTCATGGATTAGCAGCTGTGAAAGCTGTGACTCAATCTATTGGTCAGCAGTTAGATTTGAAGCTGGTTTCTTTGATGTGGTATGAAACAGGGTCTCACTGTGTAACGCTGGATGGTCTTGTTCTAACAGTCTAGTCCTCCTCTGCCTGCTGAGTGGTGGGATTAAAGACATGTGCCACCATAAATGGCTCTGGGCTGATGTCCTTGACTTTTATTTTTAGCATATACGGTTTGTGACTAGATTTAGTTAAATAAAATGAACTGAATTAAATTAACTATTTATAAAGAAATTAATAAACTGAATTTCAGGCTTTGTTTGGTAGTTGTGTTATCCTGTATCTTACTGTCAATTCCATTTGAATGAATAATTTCTGTTTCCAGAATTTGAAATTTTATTGATAAAGCATGGTTCATTGGTGAATGAACTGATTATTAGGGATGTACAATCTAAACATTAAGGTAGAAGAAAAACAAAAAATAATATTGACTAAGATAAATGAAAAAAATAGGTCCTACAGAATACATACAAAAAACCCAAGAATGAAAAATAAGACAGTTGCCGGGCGGTGGTGGCGCACGCCTTTAATCCCAGCACTTGGGAGGCAGAGCCAGGTAGATCTCTGAATTCGAGGCCAGCCTGGGCTACAGCGTGAGATCTAGGACAGGTACCAAAACTACACAGAGAAACCCTGTCTCAAAAACATAAACAAACAAACAGAAAAGGAAAAGAAAAATAAGGCAGTTAATATTTTGTTTTAAAATGAGAAAAGAAATGAAACTTGTAAATGTCAAAATTTGAAGAATAGGTAAAATAAAATTTTGGTCTTAAGAACAGTGAAACTGCAGTAAAAGTAAGGAAACATTTAAAATCTTACACACATAAAGAATTGAACAGTGTCCCTTAAAATATTAATCGTGACGTGCTAAAGCAGAGTAAAGAAGAAAAGTTAACAGATGCATTATTTACCCGGAAGACTAAAATTAGGAGAGCACGGAGAGCAAGCTGTGTTTGAGGCCTGTTGTCTGTTCTTGTTGTGCTTTGTCTGTGGTGCAGGCCTCCTGTGTGCTGGCCGTACAAACACTGTACCCCGAGCTTTCGCTCTCCTTCCATCGTACTCTCTTGTGCTCTGAGTTCTGTTTTGAGTTCTTGGTGCTTAATAGTTAAGATCAAGGGAGCCCAGACTTGGGAGTTCTTAAGCAAGCTCAATAAAAGGCAATAAGAATTTTTTTATCTTAGCTCTTTGCCTTGCCTTCAAATCATTGAAAGGTAGGAGCTGAGTTCTTTGGTAAACCTGCTTGTAATCAAGTACTAGCCGGAAGTTTTTCTTCCTCCTCAGAATGTTACCCTAGCTATCAGTAACAAAACCAAGATGATTTTTGAATGAAGTAATTGAATTCCTAAGGTTACCACTGTAATATGTTAGGAGTTGCCAAATAAGTGTACTTGGGAGTAGACTCGGTGTTGGAGGTGTGGTGGGGGGATTGTGGGTATAGTCATGGAGATCTTGGCAGATAGATTCTTTTCCCTCGCTAAAAAGTGCACTGGGCCCAAAAAGCCCCAGAGCACCCACCCCACTGTTAGTGATCCTTTCTTTATAGATTATGTTATGTTTATTGAAACAGGATGAATTAAATCTTGCTGACTCTGAAGTGGATAGCCAAAAACGAGGAAAGCAGCATTATGAAGATAAACAGAAAGAACATTTGGATACCTTAAATAAAAAGAGAAGAGAACTTGACATGAAGGAAAAGGAGCTACAGGTTACCCAGTGGTTTGGTTTGCTTTTCCCTTTCAAATTATTTTATCTGCAGCTTTAATCATTAAAATTTTTGTAATTTTTTTTAGCTTTTATTACTATTTTTACTTTTTCACTGAAAATAGCTTTTTTTCATACAATATACTTTATGGTTTCCCCTTCGCCAACTCCTCCCAGGTCCCTACTTCTCCCACCCAGATCTACACATTTTTTTTTTAATCATTAGAAAACAGACATCTAAAAATAAAAACAAACGAATCAGAGTAGGACAAAACAAAAAAATAGAAAAAAAAAACCCACAAGAAACAGGTACAGATGGTGAGACATATATTCTCACACACAGAAAACCCATAAAGATAAACTCAGAAACCATAATGATCTGTTTGGTGTTGACCATCTGCTGCTGGGCATGAGACCTGCTCTTAAGTGTGGTTTATTACCAAGTGAAAGTCCATTGGAGATTTTCATTTGTGGTTGGTTATCATTTGGAGATAGCTTCTGGGTTAGGGATGGGGGTTTATGTCTCAGCACTGGATCCCATCCAGCTTAGACCTTTGCAGGCCTTGTGCATGTTACCAAGTCTCTTCTTGAGTTCATATATGTGTGAATTCTTTTGTGTCTGGAAGGCCTTGCTTTTTTGGTGTTCTCTCTAGCCTCTGTGGCTCTTAGAATCTTTTTGCCTCTTCTGCAGAGTTCCTGAACCCTGAAGGGAGGGGTTTGATAAAGACATCCCATTTAGAATGGAGTGTTTGAAGGTCTCTCTCTCTCGGTCTCTCTCGGTCTCTCTCGGTCTCTCTCTCTCTCTCTCTCTCTCTCTCTCTCTCT